TTTGTTGATATTGATTATGGACATTTATCGCACAACATTGATGTGGCTACATTTATAAAATCTATTGGTACCTACAACTTAGTCGTTAAGTTGCAGGCTGTGTAAAGTCATCTCAATATACCGAACTCACTATTAAAACATTAAGATCGTCATGATTGCAAAAAATATACCTAAACCAGAATTCGCACATAGAAGCGATGATATTTCCCACAAATCTCACCCTTACATATTTACTACAAGTAAGTATAAGCGAATACAGCATAAGCGCTCTCCCGAAAATTCTTCCTTCGAAATATCGAATAAACCTCTTTATTTACGATCAGCGTTATGAGAATCTCACACTGACAGTCACACCAGAATTGTTATTAAAAAGTACGTAATATATTTTATTCATGAAAACGGTCACATGTCACTTGGGTAAAATAGAATGTGGCGAATAAGCCGCATGAACAAAATTTACAGTGGCGACCGCAAAAATTTATATCCCGCATATAATATTTTACATTGCAGTGAAGAGGTTGTGACGCTTCCGATTAAACAGCCCTAGCTGATGATAGAGACCATGATCTTCATTTTACTTGATTACAGCGCAGCCAAAACATGTTTTAATAACATTTTGGTTAAGCACATTCCCGAAGATTGCCGTTTGATGACTTTCAATAAAGATAAGCGAGGTGGCGATGAGAAAAGAATGCATTTGATTCTGATCGTCAATCTTAGTTGTATAGATATTATTTGCATAAATCTTCGTGCAGGACTTTTTACTCAAAACTTTTTATTCAAAATTGCATCGAAATCCAATTTGATTGTGGCAACATGGTCTTATTAATTCGTAATTATTATACAATATTATCCTTGTTTACAGCAACAACAAAATAATCAACAAAACCAATTTCTAAACCATGTTTGATAAACACATCACCTATTAAATCACGGAACTAAATCTGTTCACGGTAATAGAAAATTCAACATGAGCGAAGCGGAGCACATTCATTTCAATCAAAGTAATACCTGCATAAACGTTATAATGATCAGTATTCCATTAAGTACTTCCTGCTACTATTGAAATCGTTAGAAGTATGCAGTCATCACAAAGATCGTGATGCGGAGCGGTCGTGAGGCACGCACCCGCTGCTCAGAAGCCAAGGTCACGGCTCCTCGCAACCCGAGGCCGACACCACTACCACGCGCATCAATTTAAATAAATATAAATTGCTTAACATGAGATTAAGTGATCTCACTTTGATCTAGTACTGAGTGATATCATTGTGACGTCATTTATTGAAAGTTTGGATTTACATTTGTTTTGTTTATCAACAACATAGGTTATTCAATAGAAGATGAATAATGGATAGATTTTCGGACTTTCTTTGTAGTACTTAATTGTTTCTTAAAAACCGCTGTCAATATTGTCTTACATTTGACGATCTTAGAACGACCATTGTAACGTGAATTGTTTGGCAAAAATGAAAGGTGAAATTTAAATTACACGTTAGACTTAAGCTTTCTCATGCTTAGTTAAACTTGATGAGAGTGAATAATTATAAAACCCGGTGAATACCTAAAATACTAATGGAACTAACTTAATTGCGATAATTACACTTTTTTCTAACCTATGTTCACAACCATGAAGGTTACTCAAAGGTAAATTACTTAAAATTCGATTAGATGAGTCATAAACGTAATTACTAGATTAGAATACCGCACGACTTGCGTTAATAAAAATTAAGTACAAAAACGTCTTGGAAAATTACCATTTACAAAAAATATTAAAGGGTGCTCACCAATATTTTATTGGTACCTGAAATGAAAACAATAAATTCAATATATATCTAGACTAAAAAGATTTGACGCTTACATACAAGTTATTATTTTAAATTAATATGAAACATTAGCTCTAGCAAAACAAACTCCAATCTGTGGGTTCCCACAATAACAAGAAGGTAGTAGAATATAGCTAGCAACCACGAATTTTATATGAGTAAAAAAGGTAGTTTCGCTAAAACCTGTATCACACACAAACAATAACTAAAGTACCCCAAACAGCACTTCCGTGTCTTAAACCATCTAAGAGCAGAGATGGAACAAAAGGTAATCTCAGACTGTGCTTTAAATAACTGTACCCAGAAGGCAGATTACATCACATTATAAAACTTTGTTCAAAGCATTTTAAAATAAAAATAGTTTAATGCAAGCCAGTTCTGACAAGATAGTCGTCCCTATTGTATTCATAAAACTAAGCTACTTTGTCATGGGGTATTTTTTAACTATATTATCTCAAAACTACAAAAAATTAAGAATTCTTCTATAGGATTATCGTATTTTACAAGTAAATTGAGACGCAAAATAGCTAAAAACTTATATTCAACATAATTTTTTGGCTATTTTACATGGCAAACATACCAAAACAACCGATGCTCCAACAAAAAGCCGAATTGAGGAAACAAACGATGCCCATCAAACCGCAACAAATAACCCAACAATGATTTACGGGACTCAATCCTTGGAGGAATACCTAAAACTTTGCTCCTCAGCACATAATAACAATGATATATATCTGAATACAATGACGTCTGTATCAAGTTAAATGTTCGTAGTTACGTAGCCACTAGTAAGAATGTTACCCCAGGGATCTATATTGGGACCAACATGACAATTTCACTGCTGATTTTTCGTTTTAAAAACAAGCAATAAATATTGCTTGCCCGTATCCATTGACGGTTTTATGCCCATTGCGGATGTGATTAAACGTTCCGATGTCAAATTTGCTTTTGGTAAATATAAATTGCACATTAGTATGCGGATCAAGTTTACACCATCGCAACTTTTTGTTTATCTAAGCGAATCGATTTATTATTGCAGAAAAAAAACTCAGATTACTGCGCATCACATGACATTCAAATATTTAACGTGGTATTTTAATTGGCTGCCCGTTAAAATTCGGAACCATTACGGCATTCTAACCATTATAACATAAAATTAACGTAATTATATTTTTTTCTACAGAATGGTAATTATTTTATCGTAACATTTTTATCGGTTCCTGTCCGGAAATAAAGATTGATTGCGCAATCGTTTACATTTTTGAATCAATGTTCATTGCTCGCAAATGGCAATTACATACTGAATTTGTTGTGAACAAAATATTCATCAGTGCAGGTCGTGTCCAGCAATGTTCCAAAAGCTGTACGTGGTTAGCTCACACAGCAATGTACAGGGCAATCAGTTCAGTAGAGCAAAGCTGGCCACAAACGGTCCCAGCAAACCGTTGCAGTAACTACTGTCGGTTGCTATCGTTCGCAACGCGATTAGCAGTTAAACGCGTCTGCAGTAGCGGTGCTTTCAACGTGTACAACTTTTATGACGCTAGTTTATCATGATCTTCTATTTCTAAATAGCTTTTTAGTTCTTAAGGCTCTCTTATACCTGGTCACGTAGTGCATTAAGAATCATCACAAACGTCGAATGGCCTTGAGGCAATTTTATAGATTGCTTTGGTCTTATGTATTATTATACCGTTTGACGACAAAGTATTTAAGCTGGATTACAACTGAAAGAATGTTTTGAATGATTTTTCGATATTGTCTACATCAATTGATCCCATTTTAGTTAAGTTTAAAAACTTGTATTCAGTCGTCAATATAATTATTGTAAATTGTAATAATATGAAAATTGTCTACACAGTAAAAATTATGCTTGGTAATTAGCTACAAACTCATGCGATATTTATAATGGCGCAGAATTGCTGATTTATCACCATTTTTTACGTACCTCCATAAGTATCTTGAGAAAACTTAAGTGGCCATAGTTCATTTAAATTACACAGTTTATTCAAAATTATCTGCTAAACAGTGACTTGACATATATAAAAAAACCTCAATAAGTATTAATTCCAAAAACCTTCATACAATGTTATATCAATTTTAATACAAACATTATTTGTCGAACAAACGATGATGGATGACGCGTTTTGGACATACATATACATCAGCTTATCAAAGTCACAATCACGAAACGAAATTCCAATGTAATAAAACAGTCAGTGCGGTAGTAATGGAATAAGCACTGGCATCCTGCAAAGGGCAATGACCTTGTCAAGTATCAGACACGTGATTCAGTACTTTATCATTACGATTGGTGCCAATGTGGACTCGATAGTCTTCAAGTATCATTGACGTCACGAGCATGTCATCAAAAGCACTTGCATTAGACGAAGGAGGAAGCATTTGAATTGTAGACGTAATACTATTCAAATGCAATTGATAGATAATTTCTAAAAATAAAAATCGAATTAAAAATATCAAAATTTTTAATTAAACTTAATAAAAGTAAAAATAACGGCGTAGGTCTCAACAATATGTGTAATTTCAATGCTCAAATAAATATAGATAGATCCTTTTTGACATTTAATTTTTATCACAAAGCGTGATATTTTTCTCTTGGTACAAATTTTCTATTATTAGACCATTTTATGACATAGTTCATTCGTAAATCATTGTAAAGAAGACAAATTAAGGTGAATCTATTTTCAAAACACCCGCACAAACAACAAATTACTTGTGACTTCATATTGTTTGACAAATTGCCTGGAGAAATGCCGAGATCATCATAAATATCAAACGTATTAACCTTTTAACCTTTAATTATGGACATTTCAAAAAGTCTATAACTTACAACCAGTGACAGATATGGGTAAGTAATCGAAAATCTTGGGCACACTGTTGGATAGTTCCATTAAATTTATCAGCAATCTCAATCGAAGGGTCACTGTTACCAACAATAATGTACCTAGTAATGATTGTAGGGCTTTCAGATTCGGACCCGTCCCTCCCAAAATGAAGTTGAACGTTGGGTCAATTGATTAAATCCGTAGCCGATCTGGTTCCACTCACAATAGCCGAATTAATGAAAAAAGTAATGATACGGACTGCTAAATTGAATGTATAATTTTCTATACATACAAAATTAACAAATGTCATATTTTTGGCTAACCAACTCACCTTTACTAGAACTGCGACAACACATAAACAAATCTGTGAACAAAGGAAAGAGAAAAATGAATGCAAGTTGTTTTGAAACGCTGGAAAAATATTTCGACTGGGGCGGGCAGTTATTAAAACGTCACAAAAGCGTGCGTCATGCAAATTATAAACACAACAGTGGCTGGCCGTGCAAAATCACGACCGAAAATCATAGAACACTCAAAGAACGATCTCATAAGACCCTTGACATACACAACTCGTTTTAGAGTCGTACCTAGCTGTTCGCTCCGAGATCGGTCGGGGTCTCGAGAGTGCTCGCCGTCCCTCGTTACGGCGGGGGCCCATTAGACCAGGGGGCGCAAACCGCGCCACGATTTTAGTTTCCGACCCAACGCGCCCCGAAGCACTTATATCCGCACATATCCGCCTATATCCGCCCCTTAATAAGGGAGTCGGCGCCTAATTGACTTAACATTGGATTAATAACGGTTTAAGACTGAAATATGTTTACGGACGAATGTCATGCTGGTTCGTTTTTAGATTGGCGGGGATTTGGATGGAGTGAAATGGATTTTTGCGACAAATATGTTTTTAATAACGCTTGAATTTATAAGTAAGACCAAATTTTGATTGAATATCAACATCAGGGTGAATTCAATGCATTTGTGACAAACATACAAAACTTTAGCAAAATAGTCAAAAGTTAAAAAGCATCATAATAATAAAATCACATTTATCTACAATTACATTAAAATTCAGTCCCACGTTCAGTCCAATCCTATTCTAGATTCGAAATTCAAAACTGACACTCGAAAGCGAATCTCGCAAAGAACAAGATTGAGAGTCTCCACGAAAACCGCTCATTAAATAAACCTTTGGATGAAACTTTTGAGCAAACTCTCGGGTGGTGGAACACTTAGTTTTTAATTGATCGCCAGTCATTGAATAGTAGAGTAAGTTGGGGACGACGAGGACACGTCGTCGGGACTGTAATAAAAGGCTTTCGAGATTCACCTGAAGTTAGGGGCATCGTTAAAGCGATTTATATAAGTTTCCTATGTGATGGGTGTTTTGTCTTTTTGCTCTTTTCTCTTTTGTTTTTAGGGTTTATTTGGAACTTGGTAAGTTTAGTAAGAAGTATGATAACTAGATTTTTAGCAAAAATAAACCAATACGTAATGCAATGAGATTTTTATATTTTAAAAAGTATACAATAATAAATTAAATGTACAAATTCAGGCAAACATTATCTTGTAGAGCGGTCTCTTCTAGGCAACTTCAGAGTATGCAGACAATGAAGTACTTATTTACTACAAAAATAATAAATTAAAATATTCAAAGTGAATTAATAAAAAAATTTAGCTAGCAAATTTATAATTTAAATATAAAACTTTCAGTTGTTCTGTAGCAATATATCAAGGTAAAACTATTCAACTCGTTATGATTCAAGGAATACTTTTGTTTTTTCCTTACCTACTTCTTTTAAATCTCATCAATTAAAAGTTTCACGTTTTGATCTAAATAACTTGAATTTACTTTGGCACACTTCGGCATCTTTGAGCTTTATTTCTACCTCGATTCTGTTGACCAACATCCTTATTTACCGCATTTTGTTTAACGATTTTGAACCTTAAAGCTCCGAATAGTTACTGAATACTTTTGTCTTTACATTTGGGAATAGGAGGAAAGTTTCTAGAAAGATTTCGTATTCCGTTAGGCTAAAGAAAATGTTCTTTATTTGTGTAATAGCTCGGGGGAAATGAAAAAATTGATAAAGTGCGTAATAAATATTTTCTTCTACATTTCTTTATATGATTTTTTTCTGTATATATTTGACAGCTGTGTTACATATTTACGAATCCTCCACAATCCGATGTTGTCGAACACTACCTGAAGTATGTTGTTAGGCAGGAAAATATATTTTCTCGGGAATTTAATTGTGATTCTTCAAATTTGTGCTCAGCAATTCATATTTGCGTATGATTTGAATTGTATTTTTGTTATTGGAATTTTTTCGTCGCTATTTTTCTTTTTCCTTTATTACAAGGGGAGTGTGACGGGTGGAATGTTCCGGAATTAATTTGTCTGTAACGATTACGACAAATAAAGGTATATATATAAAAGATATCTAAAAGGTATATATATAAAAGATATCTATATTTTTCATAAAGATAAGACTCCCGTAATAACACCTACATACAATACATTCAAATAACAACTTACTCACTTAAGTCAAATGTGAAGTAACTTTTTACGTCTAGCATACTAGTGAGTTCCGTTGTGACTTGAAACTAGTAGAGCTTTTCTTAGTTAAAACAGTAAGTCGGTAATTTGTAATAACTTTAGTATGTCTCACGATAGTTATAATGGTACCAAATACTTAATTATGGTATTATTGGACAAAAACAGTTGCCAATATTTTATTAGTTTCAATATCTCGTTTAATATAATTGTTACAAGTATACATATATAGTACGGAGAGAAAATCATTGACACCCAACGACTTCCCACTTCATACAAACCTTAGTCCGTTCCTACATAATATACTATTTCATTTTATTGTTGTGTGAAAGTATGTGACATAACTTCGAACATGTTCTAACAAGTTCGTCCTTTCTATGTCATGTCACCTGTCAGACAACACATGTCATGTTAGCGAGTTTATGAGGCTCATGCTAATCAGTACATTGGACAATCGATTCTTCCTGCATGTGTTGAAATGGGTGTGTACTGTAAACATGTCACGTAACAAGTTCAGTATTAGATCGATAGAGAACTTTATGTATTATATTGCTATGTATTAACTTTATACTATCTGTTATTTATAGAAATCATGAATAAAATGAAAATATATTTTTAAGGAACAAACTGGTAACTAATACATAAATATATTTCTAAATTGTATTTTTTTTTATAAAAAGAAAGGCCTGCCGTTGTTGTTATTTCTTCTCCTCCCTACTATATCACTAATATCATGAACATTGGCAAATTGTACCTAATTAAAAATGATTTGTAATAAAAAAATTGAATTATGTAACTGTTATGTAAAATCCTAGTCACCATAGACAAATTTTATTATTTAAATGCTATGTGCACGACAAAAAGGAAAGTCAGCATATAGGATTTTAACTTTGACATTTTACAAATTATTTTAAAACGCCAATGTGTCAAGATTTTCTCGATAATTTTCCAATTTGGCGTCCGAATTTTAATTACCTCAACCATTTTATTTTTCACAGATTATATCAAACTGTTAAACAAATGATATACACAAAACTAGTATGTGATCGGGCATTCTAGACGACCAATGAATAGGGTTAGGTCAAATCAGTGGAAAGTACAAAACGGTTACGAATAAGCAGACATACTTGAACTGGCGAATTGCCGGTCTATATTTAGCGTTTAAAATCTCATGTGTCTAGAGGATAGGCATCCTACACAAACAATGTACCAATGTATTTATAAAAAAAGTTATAAACTGCCGAATCAACTTAATAATAAAATCATAATTTCAATAAACATTTATTATATTACTTCGTAGAATTTTAATTTAGACTCGTATTATATTAAATCCAAATATAGGTTTTAATGGCCTGAGGAGAAGTAAAATTAGTCGCGAAACTTTGATATTTCTCTTATTACAAACTTTTATTGCCATAGTTATTTAAAAAAGCTTTTACAATTTTGAGTAATCTCATTCCAAGAAAGAAACATGATTTATAAGGAACAGTTACTACAACTTTTTATAATAATTTCATGTTTCACCTTACATATCCAATTTCCTATGAGAATAGTCGGATAAAAATTCAAGTTTTTATAACATTCCACGGTAAATTTGAAGATATAATTAGGTAGAGTAGGTAAAGTGGCTAATAATCTTACCTTAGTTAAGCCTGGGGAATAAAAAGCAATATTAGGTATGTTACAGAACGCGATATTATACATTTATGCAGAGCTGATTCCTTTTTCAATTCAAAAAGCTTTTTGCAAAGTTAAGAACTTAAGAAAAGTTGAGGGTTCCCTCGAGAAATCAGTAAACCGCTAGCTCAAAAGCAATCAGCTCACTACGTAGGTTCGCTATTTCTATAAGACTTCAGCTATGTAAATGGAAAACAATTTAATATTTCATCTTGAACATGGCATTTTAATACATGTTAGAATTATGTATATATTTAAGTACGTAGTTATGTACAGTGTACGTGTTTTGACACAGCACGTTTAAAACTATTTTTCGCTTGTTAGGACTTGGCTCAAAAGTATAAGTCTTGGCTATAATAAACTAATCTTCATGTCAAGGAAGGATTGATTGGTGAACTTTATTATAGTACTCAAGCACTGAGTTAAAGGCTACTTATTATATCAGTTCCTATAACAGTGAGTCGAACTCTTCTTAGCATTTGTAACGGACACCTCTCGAATTGCAAACGCATTAAACTTTGAAACATCTTCTGTTGTTCTTGCTAATGGAGACGAATTTGCTGAATGCAATTGGCCCGTCAAAGGATTTCACGTAAACTATGTTAGTTCAAATGTAAATAGACCGTTTCAGTTGCTAGAATGTTTCCTGGTTTTGATTCATTTGCATTTATACTAGAAGGTATCTATTTGTGTGATTTAAACTAATTGAATAAATAATTCCTACAAATGTTTTCCTACCTACATGATTTTATATGCTTCATTGAAAACGAAAAAATTTTTGTCACCCAAAAACTGGATTCCTATTTTTTTGAACGATACGTTATACATGTTTACCTATATAGTTATTATGTATTTCTCCCAACTCAACATCCCAGGATAAAATCCTAAAAATCGAAAACAGATATATCCAGACGGATTTTATAAATAATCTTGCTATCGAATAATTAATAAGAAAAAATTTACACAGTAATAAAAACCAAATTTACAACATCTCGATCCTCACGATTTCATTCTATCAAAATAAAATCATAAAATTAAAGTAACGTTATAAATAAATTACACATAAAAACCAGTATTAAAAGGTGAAGGAAAATCGTGATTCACACGCCAAATACAATTCGTAGTGTGATGTG